ATCTATCATCATCCAACCAACCATCCATCCATCATCCAACCAACCATCCATCCTTCCAACCAACCATCTATCATCATCCAACCAACCATCCAACCAACCATCTATCATCATCCAACCAACCATCCATCCATCATCCAACCAACCATCCATCCTTCCAACCAACCATCTATCATCATCCAACCAACCATCCAACCAACCATCTATCATCATCCAACCAACCATCCATCCATCATCCAACCAACCATCCATCCTTCCAACCAACCATCTATCATCATCCAACCAACCATCCAACCAACCATCTATCATCATCCAACCAACCATCCATCCATCATCCAACCAACCATCCATCCTTCCAACCAACCATCTATCATCATCCAACCAACCATCCATCCATCATCCATCCAACCAACCATCATCATCCAACCAACTATCCATCCATCATCCAACCATCCATCCTTCCAACCAACCATCTATCATCATCCAACCAACCATCCACCCATCATCCATCCATCCATCCAACCAACCATCCATCATCATCCAACCAACCATCCATCCATCATCCAACCAACCATCCATCCATCATCCAACCAACCATCCTTCCATCATCCAACCAACCATCTTCCATCATCCAACCAATTATCCATCCAACCAACCATCTATCATCATCCGTCATCCAACCAACCATCCATCATCCATCCATCCATCATCCATCCATCACCCAACTAACCATCTATCATCATCCATCGTCCAACCGTCATCCAACCAACCATCCATCTATCATCCAACCAACCATCTATCATCATCCATCATCCAACTAACCATAATCCATCCATATATCATCCATCATCCATCCATCCATCCATCCATCATCCAACCAACCATCTATCATCATCCATCGTCCAACCATCATCCAGCCAACCATCCATCCATCATCCATCATCCAACTAACCATAATCCATCCATCTATCCATCATCCAACCAACCATATATCATCCATCATCCATCCATCATCCAACCAACCATCTATCATCATCCATCATCCAACCAACCATCCATCCATC